GCTGCCCACCATCCACGAAAAGCTCCAGTCTCGTGATCTGTCCTCCCGATTTGCTGAGTCCTGGGCAGGCTGCAATCAGAGTCGCAAGAATGCTTTGTTCCTGGCTGTTATTAGATGCCTGCGATGGGAGATAGTGGGAATCGCGTTCCCCCGTCTCTGTGTAGTGGGTTTCAGCATTGCACAGCCATTTCTGGTGGGGAAAATTGTGACCGTTCTGGAGCGAACCGACTCTCTCGCTCGGGACATGGCCTACGGTCTAATTGGAGCTACCGCGATTGTCTTCGTTGGGGTTGCTGTGAGTCTCTCAAATAGGGCCGGGCATTCGGCGTATCTCGTGAAGCGAATGTTTCGTTAATCCAGCTCACTAGGTGTTCACCGCGAGCTACCAGCATCTAGGGTACCGCGCTACAACTATGCTACGAGGTGGCCTCATGGCTTTGACTTATGAACACATGATGAATCTTCCACTGGGCACCACAGACGAATCCAGTGCCATGTCACTTATGGGGACTGACATCGAGATGCTTGCCGAATACTTCCTCTCTACAGTATGCGAGACATGGGCTAATGTCCTACAGCTGGGCCTGGCCACTTGGCTCCTGCAAACCCAAGTAGGTGTTGTCTGTATTGCTCCTTTCGTAGTGGTAATACGTAAGCCTTTCCATCCGAATCACATGGGTTTCGTTCAGAATATGACTGATCGTTCGCAATAGTCTTCACGGCAGCGTCTTTCGGCATGGGAAATGCTGTCACTGCCAGGCAAAAGACATGGCTGCAGGCTACAGAGAAGCGCGTGAACTTTACCTCCGCTATTCTAGGATCTATCCGGAACGCGAAGTTCCTTGGTTTGTCCGAGATTATGGGAACCATGATTGATGCTTTGCGTGAGGAAGAACTCACTATCTCGAAGCGATTCCGCCGGATTCAGACAATCCGTGTATGCATGGGTATGTATCTTCTCAGAGCGCTATAACTAAAACTGACGCAAAATGACTCAGTAAACCTTCCATCAATCGTTGGTCAACTTGCAACATTTGCAGCGTATGGTATAGTAGCTGCAGTAAATGGATCCGGGGGATTCCACGTCTCGCAAGCCATCACATCACTTTCGTTGGTTAACTTACTGGTCAATCCGCTCCAGCAACTTCTGCTGGCGATCCCGGATACATTTGCATCCCTCGGATGTTTGCATAGAATACAGGACTTCCTCAGGCAACCGAGTCGCGTTGGTGAGTGTTCTTGATGTTCTCCGTTCAATTCCCAAGGTTAAATCCAAAGCTTATGTGCTTTTCACAGAGAAGAGGAAGTTAGCTCGGCTGCTATCAAGTCCAGCAACTTCGTCCCGAAGTCGATCTGGTATTGAGCTCTCTGCTCTCTCTTCCCCCATCACTGGCTCTCTGTCAAAGCAGGCCACGATGCATATGTCCCTGGAAAATGTCCGTTTTGGATGGAAGTCCTCACCACTGGACAAATCCGGCGTTACCCTTAACTTCGAGCAATCTGACAGAGGAAATCTCGTCACGATTGTCGGTCCCGTCGGTAGTGGGAAGTCCACCTTTTTGAAAGGCCTTGCCGGTGAGACGCCTGTACTGGATGGAAAGCTCGTTATCAGCCATCCGGACATAGCATTCTGCGAGCAGATGCCATGGCTTGCTAATGCATCAATTCGGGATAACATTGTGGGCGACAGCGGATCATCGTCGTTTGACGAAAGATGGTATCACACAATCTTGAAAGCATGTGCGATCAACCTGGATATTGGGAGAATGCCAGCAGAAGACCGGACGCTTGTAGGCAGCAAGGGGGCGAAACTGAGCGGAGGGCAAAGGCAAAGAATTGTTCGTTATTAAACTGCCTGATAAGGACTCGGACATAATCCCACTACTAACATCGACAGGCCATCGCACGAGCTCTCTATTCTCGCAAACGCATCGCTTGTTTCGATGACGTTTTCAGTGGTCTTGACAATGTGACTTCCCAGCAGGTGTTCACTAATGTCTTTGGTCCGGACGGTCTGCTACGTCAGGTGGGCTGTACTGTTTTCCTGGCTACCCACAACAGTAAGATTCTTCGTCGAATGACGGCCTTATAATTTCCAAATGTGGAGTGTCTGCTGATTTGAATACAGCTCAGCACCTACCGCAATCCGACTTTATCATTGTGCTGGGCAATGATGGTGAAGTTCTTGAGCAGGGCACTTATTCCCAGCTTCGAAGTCACATGGGAGGTTACATTAACAAGCTTGATCTGAGCACAGGGCAGCTAGGTGACCTAGGAGCGGCTTATACTGTTCAATCACAGTCTGAACTCACGACGACGACTGCAGACACTGGAAACGCCTCGGATTCCTGTGATGGCAATCGACAGACAACCGACACTTCTGTGTACAAGTACTACTTCTCTAGTCTGGGTTGGCTGAGAGTAGCCACCTTTATGTTTTTGTTGACTGTCAATTCAGCCGTTGGCGGATTCCTCTGTGAGTCCTCCCCTCTCTTACTTACGATATTCTAGCTGTCATAAAACGCTCACGTCTGAGTAGACATTTGGGTGGAACGTTGGTCGAGTAGCAACGACAGTGCCTCAGGCTCGCGTTCAGGATATTGGCTGGGAATATATGCGGCATTGGCCGCGGTCGAAGCAGGCTCCCTTGCGCTTGCTATATTGTGTGTTCAACCCTCCTTCGTCTCTATATTGTGTGCTGACAGTAGATGCAACTGTTCAGCTGGACATGGGTCATTATTGTCCCAGCTGCCTCGAAACACCTTCATTCCACTGTGCTCCGCGCTTGCATGAGGTGAGTTATGATTTCATACATTGGGCGAGACTACTGTGACTGAGAACTAACCCCTTCAAGTGCTCCCTTATCTTACTTATCAAATGTCGAAACTGGAGCTCTTGTAACTCGCTTCAGCCAAGACATGCGTCTGGTAGACATGATTCTTCCCCGTGGGTTCATCTCTTTAGGATTCCGTAAGTATACAATTCATGAACAAGGTGAAACGAATTTTATATTGACATTTTTGAACTCAGAGCTCTTCAGCGCCCTCGCTCAAGGCGCCATTACCATCGCTTCCTTGCCTTATATCGCTGCGGCTCTGCCATTCCTCATCGCGCTGCTGGGCCTGCTTCAACGATTCTATCTTCGCACTTCTCGCCAACTGAGATTGTTAGAGTGAGTCTCAGCTGTTCCGTCTTCATTTTTCTTCCTGAAGCATTGGCTTCCTGGATGCCTTGATTCCGTCGTGCTGATTCACTTCAGAATCGAGCTCAAGAGCCCCTTATACACTCACTTCATCGAGTCTCTTTCTGGAGTGACCACCATCCGCGCCTTCTCATGGACGCCCGTGGCCGTGTCTAGGATGCTTGCTATGCTTGACACCGCCCAAAAACCTTATTATCTTCTCCTGTGCATACAACGCTGGCTCTCACTGGTGCTGAATCTTATAGTAGCTGCTCTAACAGTCATCATGGTCGGAATAGCCGTCGGCGTTCGTGATCATGTCAATCCAGGTCTGCTAGGTATTGCTCTCGTGTTGATGGTCGAGCTAGGCCGAGTTCTATCGGAAGTGATCCAGAATTGGACGCTGCTCGAAACATCGCTGGGTGCGATTGCTCGGATCAAGTCGTTTTCCGAAGACACCCCCACTGAAGAAGACCCGACTCTTGAGGCCCATGAGCCACCTGTGGGTTGGCCCAGCTGTGGTCAAATTGAGTTTGCTGATACGAGCATTGCGTATGGCACCTCCGAGTCAGCAGCCGCTGTGCTGAGCGACATCCGCCTTCAATTCCGTGGTGGGGAGAAGATTGGGCTATGTGGTAGGACTGGAAGGTCAGTTGCAGTGTTTCCGAGCATCATCTCGAATTCATTCAGACGTTAGCTGACCGCGAATCACTACACTCCAGCGGCAAAAGCAGCCTCGCACTTTCTCTACTTCGCCTCAACGAGGTTGTGTCTGGCCAAATTCTGATTGACGGACAAGACATCTCCCTCATCTCCCGATCTTCGATACGCCATCGCATCAGCAGTCTCAGCCAAGAGCCCTTCCTATTTCCAGGGACCATCCGGCAGAATGCGGACCCGTTGAACGCTGCTACGGACGCGGACATTGTTGATGCTTTGCGCTCTGTTGGAGTGTGGGATGCACTGGCGGCGCATCACAAAAGCTACAGCCATGACGAAGAGGTTCTTGGAGTCAAACTAGACGACAGCATCTTGTCAGAAGGCCAGAAGCAGCTGTTCTGTCTGGCACGGGCTCTGTTAAGGAAGAGCAAGATTCTGATCCTCGATGAACCGACGAGCAGGTATATTCCTTGTTGACTCATCTCTGTTGTTCGGCTTTCTCAAACGCTGACCCACATCCTGCATGCAGTTTGGACAAGGAAGCAGATGCTCGAGTGCAGAAGCTCATCCGCGAGTTGTTCCAAGATTGCACGGTGATCATGGTCGCTCATCGGATTCATACTCTACTCGACTTCGATCAGGTCGTGGTGTTGGACAGCGGACGGGTTGTCGAAGTGGGACATCCACGCGGACTAGCCCGCAGACCTGATGGGGCTTTCGCTAAACTGTTAGCTTTTGAGGTCTGAAGTCGACTGCTTCGATGGGTTGACGACCTCAGAGCAAGTGACTAGGCAAGTAGATATGCGCGTCTTCAGATCAAGGGACTATGTATAAAGGTTATCGGAGGGATTCTGAGAACTTTCACGTGTAATTCCATTATGAATAGGTAGGTCCCAGTGCCAACTGCTACATACTATATCAAGTAAAGAGAGAGTGCGTTGCCCGGCCAGTGTCCAGACTCCACGGATAATCAGTCCCATGGTTCTTGTTGATAAGCCCCTCCTTGCCTGAGCGGGACTAGCGCCAAAGTCAGCCATCAGCCATCAGCTCCCCCAAGAATGAGCTCATCCCCCACCAATGACTGTGTTCTGCCCCAGAAGCGGTGGCAGATTGCGTGATCGAGGGGGGTTCCAGTGAGGTCGGCTCCCTCCAGTTCCAACATGGAGGGGCAGTCACCACTCTAGCACTGAGGGGGAAACGAGAGAGTGTCCGAATTCGGGGATGTTGGCCACGGCACCCGCAACTATTTAGCCTCTCTTTCATCCTTCTTCCCCCCCTCTGTTCCCCTCGTACCTACCTTCTCACCACTCCCATCCGCTTCCTCTCTCCCTCCATAAATCCTTACCTTCTACTGTACCATACCATTCACAATGGCTCAGGATCGTGCTCCTCCGTAAGTTGACCCATTGCTTACCTCAACTGTTCACAAGCTCGAGGTTGGTTTGTATAGATCACAGCAATTCTGACCGGCTCTTCTCAAATAGTCTCCGTCTCGGCTCTGAGGCCCCTAACTTCGAGGCTGACTCCTCCAACGGCCCCATCACCTTCCACGACTTCATCGGCGACAGCTGGACCGTCCTCTTCTCCCACCCCGTGAGTGATCGGAGTTCGAACTATATTGCTAGGACACCCGTGACTAACCAATGCGGCCGTTGGAATAGGATGACTTCACCCCCATCTGTACCACCGAGCTTGGTGCCTTTGCTAAGCTCGAGCCCGAGTTCACTGCTCGCGGTGTCAAGCTGATCGGTCTGAGTGCCAACGGCACCGAGTCCCACCACGCCTGGATCAAGGACATCGACGAGGTCACCGGCTCCAACCTCAAGTTCCCCATCATCTCCGACCCCGAGCGCAAGGTCGCCTACCTGTACGACATGGTCGACTACCAGGACACCACCAATGTCGACTCCAAGGGTATGTATCTGGTTCTTCTGAGTTTCATTCTGGCTGCACATCCGCTAACGGAACCCCAGGCATGGCTCTCACCATCCGCTCCGTCTTCATCATCGACCCCAAGAAGAAGATCCGTCTCATCATGACCTACCCCGCTTCCACCGGCCGTAACACTGCCGAGGTCCTCCGTGTCATCGATGCTCTCCAGACCACTGACAAGCACGGCGTCACCTGCCCCATCAACTGGACTCCAGGCGATGACGTTGTCATCCCTCCCCCCGTCTCCACCGAGGAGGCCCAGAAGAAGTTCGGCGACATCCGCATTGTCAAGCCGTGAGTACCCTTTGATCCCCGGCTTGTCACTTCTTGATTTTACTAACTTGGGACCAAAGTTACCTTCGTTTCACCAATCTGAAGCAGTAAATCAAAAATGTCTAGGTCAGCCAAAGATAGGCAGGAAATTTGCAGTGATGCAGTCCGACTACAGGACTGGTGCTGAGAAAAGGAAGACAGATCTGATACGAAAGTTATGAAAAAATATGAGATAATATTTTATACCCGATGATTCCAGCCGAGGTAGCAAGAAGTAGTTCGAGCCGGCTGCAGGCAGTTGATCTCGATGTATGCAGGAACCCAGCTTGACCAGTAGTATCTGCTGAAGTCTGTGGTGTTCCTGCAGGCTGTACAGTAGGTTCCTGGGACGAGCTGCCAGTCCCCGCTCACAGTCGGAAGGGAGGATTGGAGCCATGGTTGGCCGTCTGGGTCCCTCCGGGTGGCGATAACAGCATCAGATCGTTGCTGTGTCATCCTGCATAGCTCACTTCACCTTGTATGGGGGGAGAGTGCGTTATTTCTGGAATTAAGAAGCTGTGGACTATCCATCAAATGTTGCCATTCTCTCGAGGCTCCATGTATGTGAAATGGGGGCCAGTGGTTCGTATCATTGAGGAATGTTTGAGTAACCACTGCATCGGCTGCCAACCGCTGAGCTGAGCCGCATTGGAGGACAAGGTGGCTGCGTGGTAGTGGACTGGTTGTTAGTATGTGTTGGAGGGTGTGGGAATTCGAGGACCCATCCATGCGAACTGTGTAGATGGCATTTGTGATGATGATGAGATGAAACTACTACACAACCAAGTAGTTATATAGTAAAAGAGCAATTGACTTTTCATGTGGAAGGTCTCTTGGGTGCCTGGACCGTAGTTGAGGGACAGACAGACCGCCTTCCTTCCTGGAATCAATCCTTCTCCTCCTTTTCCTTTTCCTTCTCCTTTCCCTTTTTTTCCCCACCCGCCTTTTCTACTCAGAGGGTCGCTTCTCGCACTCTCAATCCTTCTTATTCTTCGTTTTTGTGCTGAGACGGTTGTGTTGACTATTGCAGCATTGGTTATACCTTCACAAATATTGTCTATCTCATTGATAAGGAAACGACTGAATTATCTGGTGCCGTTCTCCTCCGCAGCGGGGATAAGTAGTCACCGATAACTTACCGATCGATTTCGACTTTCCGCCCGCCTGTGCCCTCCACCCCCCCCCTGATCATCCCTCCTCCGGTCGCACTGCCCCCCCAGTCCCATTTAGACGTCGAAGATCACCCGACCGCTTTCCCACCAACGTTGCTGTCAAAATCTCTTACTAGGTCTGTGCTGCTGTGGCACGCAAGGGTGGCGTCTAACCCTCTTTTACGACTGTGATGATCCTCGATCGCCTCGACCCTTTCCCTTCCTCTCGTTCAACGCCATATCCCCGGAAAAGCAATTCCTGACTCTGGGTACCGCAAGCGGGCGGCACTTTCTCCTACGATACGCGCAAAGACTTACGATAGCGACAAAGTTTTACTGAGTGGTCTCCTCGATTATAAGGCGCTCACTCATCATCTTTCCTGCGGGTTGAAGGTAAACAGACCTCGGAAATACCCTCATTATGATGTCCCGAAGCCAGTCGAGCCTGGGCTTCTTGGATACAGGCAGAGACGACCCATCTGCGACGGGGATCTCGCCTCGACTTCAGCAAGCCCAACAGCAGTCGCAATCCTCCAACTCCGGTCCGATCAACCTGTCAGGCCTGGTATGCAATGTCCGTCGGACCACCGGCCGAGAGCCGCACCCTCTCGTGGGCGCAACGACTACCATCTTAGGCGATAGGCTATACGTGTTCGGAGGCCGGGTGCTCTCCAAGAGTCGTCCGCAGTTGACGTCGGACATATACGAGCTGGACTTGATCCGGCGTCACTGGACCAAGATCGAGGCGACCGGCGATATTCCCCGCCCGCGGTATTTTCACAGTGTTTGTGCCTTGGGAGACCATAAACTTGTGTGCTATGGCGGTATGTCGCCTGCCTCAAACGTGTCCAAGGACCCTGCTGCCGCGAGCGGGGGATCGGGGGGTCAGGAAGCTCAACCGGAAGTCGTGGTCATGTCAGACATCCACATCTTTGACGTGCCCACTCGGACTTGGACCCGCGTGCCAGCCATCGATTCCCCCCAAGGTCGCTATGCGCACTGTGCGACAATTCTGCCCTCCAGCGCCCATTTTACCTCAGCCACCGCACCTCTTTCGGCTATACACCATAACCCGGCGTCTTCGAACCCGCACCAGGGCACGATCGGAGTGGATATTGATGGGTTTGGGGGTGCCGAGATGGTCGTGGTCGGAGGACAAGATAGCTCCAATCATTACATCGAGCAGATCAGTGTCTTCAACCTGCGGAGTTTGAAGTGGATGAGCACCAGCACGCTTGGCCGCAGCTGTGGTGCCTACCGCAGCGTGGTTGCTCCCCTACTGGGTATGAGTGTCTCCGAGATTGGCTCTGCGGCGGAGGATCGAGATGCACAGGAGCCCATTGAGGACTCCCAGGTCGAGGGTTGCCCAATGCTTATCTACTCTAATTACAACTTCCTGGATGTCAAGTTGGAGCTTCAAGTACGCTTGCCTGACGGTCGCTTGGTCGAGAAACCCATGCAAAGTCAGGCCTCGCCCCCGGGGTTGAGGTTCCCCAATGGAGGCGTCATCAACGGTCATTTCGTTGTCAGTGGTACCTATTTGACCTCCTCGAAGCAGGAATATGCTCTTTGGGCACTGGACTTGAAGACTCTCACTTGGGGTCGAATCGATGCTGGCGGCTCGGTCTTCGGTCAGGGTAGTTGGAACCGCGGAGTTCTATGGTCGAGAAGAAATACCTTTGTTATTTTGGGCCAACGAAAACGCAGCTTGGTGGAAGATTATAACCACCGGCGTATCAACTTTTCACACGTGTGCATGGTAGAATTGGAGGCTTTCGGTCTCTACAACAATGCGTGCCGGACTGCACCCACCTCGGGCTATGTCTCCTACAGTGCGCCATCTGTCCCGGCTTCTCTCCAGTCGAAGCTTACCAAACTGACCTCTGGTGGACGACCGTTCTCTGCGGCCTCGGACGAACTAGGTCGTCTCGCCCACTCGCTACCTGAAATGGCCGACATGGAGCTCCAAGCCGTGGGAGGGGAACGCATCCCCGTCAACTCGCGCATCCTGACGCGCAGATGGGGTCCCTACTTTATTCAACTACTCCGCGACTCCTGCGATGGGGGAGTCTCTGACTCTGCTACTCTTCGTCCTGCGGTTGCCATGTATCCCAGCCGCAACTCAAGTATTACCATCACCCCCTCGATCGGCCAGAACAGCAACTATTCCAACGCCAGCACGCTTGTCAGTAACCGCTCCGTCACCTCTAAATCATTACTAGCAAACCTCGAGATACCCTCTGCGCATTCTCTATCGCCTACCGCTCGTCCCCGTGTACTCTACCTACCTCACACCTACCTCACCCTCCAGGTCCTTGTCTACTATTTCTACACGTCCTCCCTGCCCGCTGTGGGCTCCTCTCTCTGCACCCCCCAGATTCTCTGCTCCCTCCTCCAACTTGCCCGCCCTTATCAGGTCGACGGCCTCCTTGAAGCCACGGTCGAACGCCTCCACCAAATGCTTGACGGTCGCAATGCTGCGGCTGTCTTTAACGCGGCCGCCATGGCCGCGGGAGGAGGCCGTGGGACAGGGTTCGCCAGCGGGCTTGGTGGCACCTTGGAAACCCTGAACGGCGCTCACGCGGCCGCCACCGCTGCCGCGCAAGACCCCTCAGCGCTGACCACCACGACCACCAACACGACCGCCACCACGCAACCCTCCTCAGCGGCCCAAAGCCACCTCACCTCCGACTCGTCCGACACGGAACACGGCACCACCGCGTCGGCCGCCCTCTCGACGGCTAGCAGCGTCAGCGGCGTCGGGGCCACCTCCACCTCGCGCGGTATCCCCCTCCGCATCAACACCAACATCTTCAGCCGCCGCCAGCGTCACAGCGACCGCGAGCGCGCGCGTGAGCGCGAACGCGAGCGGGAACGCGAACGGGAGGTGGAGCTCGAGCGCGAACGGGACCGCGAGGACTCCATCAGCAACGCCAGCACCGCCACCTCGGCCTCGGCCTCGACGAACACCAGCTTCGACCATTCCGACTCGGAGTACGGCGGCGGCGGCGAATCCGCCGGCCGCGCCCGCTCCTCGTCGCATCACCGCCGCAACACAGACGCCGAGCTCCGGCCCGAGCGCGAGATCTGGACCGGCGACCCCAGCAGCGTCATCGGCCTGCAGAAGCGGGGTCTCCGCGGGCTGATGGAGGGCCGCCGGCTGCGGGAGCGCACGACTAATCCCACGCCCAACGGCGGCAGTAACGGGGTGAAACCGGGTAGTGCGGCGGTGAGCTTGAATGGCAATGGGAATGGAGTGGAGTAGTAGTGGGCCTGCAGCTTTTGGGGGTGTACGGTTTCCTACCTGTCTGAAGATCTTCAGTCTGAGAAAGCTTGAGCGCGAGACAGGGAGAAAGTGTGTGCGATTTCCAAATTCAAGTATATATTATATCTAACTTCACTTGGATGGGATATTTTATTTTGGGGGGGCAGGAAGGAAGGAAAGTTGGTAGGGTAGGTAGTAGTTAATGATGAACGATGCATGACAATCTTCTTCTGGATTCCCGCTTGTTTTGGTTTTTGTGTTTTGTGTTTTTTTGGGGAGGAGAGTGGATGGCATTTGTTGAATTGAGTAGCTGAGGACCGAATCTCATAATGAGCCAGGTGGGTTGATTTCAGTCGCATGGATACACTGTGAAGATGTACGGTTCCTACTGAGTAAGATAGTATTGGGTGGAGATTGGGTGGAGATGCCCAATTGCAGTGCCCTGGTCGATTTTCCGGAAATGGTTGGTGCACTGCCTCAGGAATCAACTATGGCTACTACTATAAGGTAACCAAGGTGCCGAAATTGAAGGCACCCGGTTTTAGAATCCAAATATCACCCACGAATCGTCTTCCATTCTACGCCGTAACATACAACTGCAGAAACACAGAATCGAAGATGGAAAGAAATGAAAGAAGAATCTCGTTCATGAAAAACATAGATAAGAAGTTCTTAACCCCTCAGATGGACATTACTTCGTGCGCTCGACAGCACCCACGCCTTCCAGAATAACCACTGGTCCTGACGTACGCTGACGCCCGTATCGCCCAGATCCTCGGGAGTGTAGGTGCGCAATTGCTCCAGGGTCGCGCGGTCGAAGGAGCGGCGCGTGCTGCCGCGCGGCGCGAACGACAGGGAATCCACGTTCAAAACGGCGTCGCGCGAGGGGGAATGGGGCGTGGGCTGTACGACAATGGCGAGTGACGTCGGCGTGTGGGAGCCACCGGCACCGTTGCCGTTACCGTTGCCGTTGGTTGCGGTGGGTGCATGGTTGTGATTGTGGTGGCCGTGGGCGTCGAAGTGGTTCGTGTAGTCGATCTCCCGGAGATCGAGGCGCTCGAGGTGGTCCATCTCGTCGTGGAGCAGCACGAGGATGTCGCGCCAGCGTCCGCCCGGGCGGAGGTAGATACCGGAGAGCCGAAGATCTCGCAACGGTCGCCGATGGCGGCGGATGAGAGCCATCAGCTCGTCTGAGCCCAGGCGCCAGCCTTGGATGCTCAGCGTGCGGAGTCGCTTCCATTGCAGACGATGGAAGATGTGCTCGAGCGGCAGGGCGATCGGTGCATGGGCCGGATAGCCTAGGTGGATCGCGGTGAGGTTTTTGGCGGCCAGGAAAAAGTCATAGAAGACATTGGATAAGGTGTCCATGCGCGTGGACAGATCCAAAGTAGAAGAAAAGGTGATGTCTAGGCTCGTCAATCGAGCCCCCAGTGCGGCGAGACTGGTTGATGGGGCTTGTAATAGTTTCGCAGTCGCCTCTGGACTGATCTGTGGGCCGACGAATCGAACAGCGTCACAATTCGAATCCAAGAGGGCGATGCTCAAATTGGTGACGGCTCTGGTGCACGCTGGCTCCCAGTCCAGTCGCGTTGTTCCTCCCAATGAGTGTTCGTGAATCCAATCCAGAATTTGCTCATCCGCCTCATCCTGCAGTCGCAGCAACTTGACCTGCTGCAGGGATGTGAATGCTCCGATCGCGCGGCGCAGATATAACAAATCGTGACTCGCCTCGACGATACGTTTCTGCTCGTGAAGGCGACGTCGGTGGGTCGACGAGAGAGGAAAATTGTCAGTATCAACCGTCTCTAGAACGTCGGGCCAACCTAGACGGTTATCAGCTTTTCCTGGCACTCAAAGATGACGGGTCTTCGGAGACGGTACCGCTTCCTTGGTAGAAGGGTCGCACCATGTACGTGAAATTTCGAACATGGCAGGCTAGCTGCATGCTCAAAAGTTCCTCTAGCCTCCGGAATCCATCCGACGAGAACCGCAGCACAAAGCGAGGGAATTTCTGCGGTGTGCCGATGCGCATGAACCTTCGGCAGACGAGTCGGAACCGGTCCAACTCAGACTTCTCACCGTATACATGGGGGGATTGGGCATTCAGTGGAGTCGAGGAACCATGCGAAGTCGTGGGGGAGGCTTCGAGGGAGGAATATTCGAAGCCCAGAAGAAACGAGAGGATGCCCTGGATGAGCTCGTCCGCCAAGTCGTCAAAATGCCGCGGTTGGTCCATGTTTGTCGCACAGCGAAGCAGCAGCGTGTTCGGCTGCCTGGGCCACTCGCACCAACATGGAATCCCAAGTCAGGTCTGGAGTGTAGGTCGCAAATCAAGGGGCACTGACTTGTCGGACATGCAACGAAATTAAGGAGATGTAAAGGGGGGCGATGTTCGTTTTAAAAGAGCAAAGAAAACGTCACAGATAAAATAAGCAAAAAGAACGAGGAAGACGGATGACAGCAGCGAAAATTAAATGTTTGGGAGAGAAAAAGAAATAAGGATGAAAAATCCTTGAAGAAGAAAAAAAACAAGAGAGTGACGAAAAGGAAGGACGAAAGTGATACATCCCCTCTTCTAGTTGGAGGCACACAGACACAGACACACAATCTTCTTCTCTGTCATCTGCAAAAGATGACGGCGGGCCACAGCCAGCGCGCGTGCAGCAGCAGCAGCAGCAGCAGGTTGAACGTGTCTGACCAGAAATTGACAGCGTCCCACCGCAAGCTCATTTCCTCCAGCGCACCGGGTGGTCATTATCGCATTCAGGGCCTGCAGAAGCCCCGGGCGGGATCAGACGACTCGATGATGGCCGACCGGGGGGACGTATACCGGAGTCACATGATCAAACGAGTATGCGGTTATCCAGCGCGAACCTGCAGGAAAGCTGGTCGAGGAGGAGAAGGATTGGCAGAGAAGGGACGACGGAAGGGAGTATAATGATGCGACAGCAAGAGTCAAATACGTGCAGACGCCCAGCTGCGAGGGAACCCCGCTTGGAGGTAATCGCAATTCATGGCGGCCTGTCGTTGCAAGCCTTCACCGTCCCTGCGGCTTGACCACGTCGCGGAAGATTATAGATAGACCAGGGGGGAGGGGGTTTGATGTGGTGGAGAAAGGGGGAATGAGATATGGATGGTTGAGGGTTGCTTGTTCATGATGCACAGGTGAAGAAAAGTAGTGGATCTCGAGGTTGAGAGATTGGCCAACAGTGGCATTGCCCGTTCGGGTCGACTCTTTGCAGTAGCTTCATCGCGTGGGTTGTCAACCTAGTCGACTCTTTGCAGTAGTTGGTGAAGAAGGAAGAGGGGAAAAAAGGATCACCGGCACTTAAGCAGCACTTAAAACGCCGTAGTCCAGTAGTCCCCGAGCCCAGGCGCAAGCCCAAACACTGCAATGATCCGCTGGTTGGTTGTCGCTGTCTCGTTTCCTTCAGTCTGTGTTGGCGTCGCCAGCCAGGTAAGTCGGGGAAAACAAAGGAATAAAAAGAGATTAGATCAGAGAGAGGAGAAAGCGCACAGGATCAAACAACGCTATATACGGTACATGAGGTCGGGACGGTCTAGAAATTACACCACCAAGGAGAAAAGTTAAGGGCCCTTCCACGCCCACTTATCCTCCATCATCTATCTGAATCGGTCGAGTTGCCGGTCTGGACTAGATAGATAGTTGGAGATACATCAGATCTCGTGCTGTCCAATCGTCTCCTCTGTGAAGGCCATCTAGACCTCATCATAGTTGTTGTCGAACAGACCTTTGCTTGTACGATTGGCTCAGGTCACCACTAATTTCCCGCATCGAGATCGCGCATCTCGGGAACTTTCGCGCCAATCAATCATTGCAAAGCCTTCTCCATCCGCCGCCGCCTGATATCTGTGCTGCTTATCTTGGATGCAAAGTCCTCCGCGTCATCGGGAGGCACCTCCGTTGTATGCAGGACATCGACCTCGAAAACAGCCAACGGTGCCCATCCTTTCTTTGTCCGTGCATCATTGACTGCAGCGCCGCCCGACCGAGTCTCCTTAGAGACCACAAGGGCGCCAATGCTTTCATCAGTGATGGTAGGACCAAAGGGATCCTTGATCTCCACCAATTTGAAAACTAGATCGGGCCGTATTTTCATGAGGATGTACTTCCCATCAGAACCCGGCTCCAGGGCTTCTTCAAGCTGAGATCCACTGGGTCCGGAAGCACGAAAATTCATGATGGCACTCAAGAAGGCACCTGTGCTATGGCTGCGTTCTTCCCAGCTTTCCAAGAATTCGGGATACTTTTTCTTTACCAGCAACTCATCGCCGGTCACTCCCACGACGAGGATTCGTTCCCTCCCCGCATCAGCATCCTCCACGGGCTGTAAAACAAGTGCTGTTGCGGTCAGTAATAGTTTGTGTCCAATGTGGAAGTGGTCGAACGTGCCCCCCACAGCGACTGTGTAGGGCGAAGTGGCTTCGTGGAGATCGCCTAGGGTCACAAGAGATTCTGATGGAGTCCAGTGCGGTGCGTCTGGGATGGCATGTAATGAACCAGAGTCGGGAAGTTTAGGATCCGCCACCGGAGAATAGAAGCTACTGAAGGCTGCGGCCAGATCCTGTCCTATCTGATTATCAGGGTAGTAAATTGACTTCCATGGTCGTCCTGACCTAGCCAGAGTTCGCAGGTCGACGATCGGGCCATCGCGCGGAACTGCTGGAATGCTTTCCGGGCTCCGAGACAGATCATAGTCGAGGAGTATGACCCGTGCATCGATACCTCCAGGCATATCCAACTCGATCTTGTGTTCGATACATACAATCCCAATCAACCGGTATATGCCTTCAAGAATCGACTGCAGGCTTGCGAACGCTCTAGTGCGGGGTCGGCAGGAAGGGGCGAGCAAGCCTGGTAGGGAAAGTGCAACATCGAGAGGAGCCACGCGGTCGGACCCGTCCAGCTTGAGATGAAGGGTAGAGCAGACAGTTGACAGAGTAGCCTCGTATGCAGACTTAAGTTGGTCAAAGTCGGCCGCTGGCGGAGGTGGCAGCAGCAGCAGGGCCGAGGTCGGTTCGGAAGCCATATTGTACTGATATGCGGGGGAATGACTGTCAGTATTGGTTGTCTGTAGCAATTGCAATTATGGATAGAATAGCTGGAGAGTAGCAGGCAAATCAGAAGCCAAACTGACAGCAGACCCAAAAGCACAGACGACCCGATGGCAGTCGGACGTTTCTGCTGAGTCGAAAAGGG